GCCCTTTTCAATCACGATATCCATCAATTTCGCATCCACGACCTTACACGAAATTCTGAGTTCATATCTGAATTACAGTTCCCCTTTGACTACCATCCCCGCTCGTGCACACTCGGTGAATCTATCGTTCGTCCTTCATCATGAGCGACCCGGAGCGCAGCCAGGCGCTCGAGGACTATAAAAAGAGCTTGCTCGAGCTACGAGAATGGGAAGCTAAGTTGAAAACCCTTCGTTTGGGTATCAAGGATCTTCAAAGAGAGTTTGATGTCTCCGAGGAGAACATCAAGGCACTACAAAGTGTTGGTCAGATCATCGGCGAGGTGCTGAAGCAGCTCGACGAAGAGCGATGTAAGTATCCAAAGCTGGAGCTTTTCACCTCAATGATTGCATCAAGAAGCTAATCCGCTTCACAGTCATCGTCAAGGCGTCATCGGGTCCTCGATATGTGGTCGGTTGTCGTTCAAAGGTGGATAAGTCCAAGATGAAGCAAGGCACACGTGTGGCCTTGGATATGACAACACTCACCATCATGCGGATGCTGCCTCGTGAAGTTGATCCCATGGTGTACAACATGTCTCTGGAAGATCCAGGGACGGTCAACTTTGCGGGTATCGGTGGTCTTAACGACCAGATCAGAGAGCTCCGTGAGGTCATCGAACTACCCCTGAAGAATCCAGAACTCTTCCTCAGAGTTGGAATTAAGCCTCCGAAGGGTGTTCTGCTCTACGGTCCTCCGGGTACTGGTAAGACGCTGCTTGCACGAGCAGTGGCCAGCTCGATAGAGACCAACTTCTTGAAGGGTATGTCCCAACTTCTTATAACATTTACACCCGCAATATTCTGACTAGTCTGCTCGTTAGTTGTATCCTCGGCCATTGTGGACAAATATATCGGTGAATCCGCTCGCCTGATCCGAGAGATGTTCGGATACGCCAAGGAACACGAGCCCTGCATTATTTTCATGGACGAGATCGATGCCATTGGTGGACGACGATTCTCAGAGGGTACATCGGCAGATCGAGAAATTCAGCGAACGCTCATGGAGTTGCTGAACCAGCTGGATGGTTTCGACTACCTAGGAAAGACAAAGATCATCATGGCTACCAACCGACCCGATACACTGGACCCTGCTCTGTTACGTGCCGGTCGTCTGGACCGTAAGATTGAGATTCCTCTTCCCAATGAGGTTGGTCGTCTAGAGATCTTGAAGATCCACACAAGTACAGTCCAAAAGGAAGGTGATATCGACTTTGAGAGTGTGGTCAAGATGAGCGATGGTCTTAACGGTGCTGATCTCCGAAACGTGGTTACTGAAGCGTGAGTGACAACTCCTATCTAATAATATGCCGTAAACTCTTTCGCTAACTCCTTATTAGTGGTCTGTTCGCGATCAAGGATTACCGTGACGCTATCAACCAGGATGACTTCAACAAGGCTGTACGGAAGGTGGCAGAGGCGAAGAAGCTGGAGGGCAAGCTTGAGTATCAGAAGCTGTAATTGTATCTACCTTGCGAGGGCTGTTGGCCCACATCATCTGGTGCACGGTTTAGATCTTTATCTTGAAGTGCTAATGCTATGCATTTGACCTATTCATCTATTGTTGATTCAAGTCCGAGTCTGTAGATCAGGGACCTCGGAAAGAACGACTTGATTAGTTAACAGTTGAAGTGTAGCTGCTCTAAGGAATTAATGTGAGGACGTTGGTTTTGATTGGTAAATAATTGGACGTCCTATTCATTTAAGTACTCTTAGACTACATGCATATGTATTACGACGATGTCTGGGATAGATGAGGCTAGTTACGCGTACAATGAGATGATTTACGGACCCCTAGTGTTGTCTCTCCACTTCCCCAGCTTCCTTTAACCTGCCTTTGCCACGTTCTTGGTTTTCGCGCGAATTTCGTCTCGAATTAGATTGAATGCTTGTTGCGATACTTGGCTTTTTATCTGCCATAGGATTGCTCAGGACACGCTGGATAGACTCCGCGCTCCGCATCTCCTCAGAGAAATTCTTTACGGACCAGCTACCCACCAAGCACAACTGTGTCGGTGCATGCTAGCTTCTTTGTTTAGAACCGAGAGACCGAATTATTTTTTCGACCGAGACCTGTACATCACAAGCGCCTTAGAAAAGGGTCGTACTTCGTAAGTGTGCGGGTGCCCGTGTCCGAGCTCCTCGTCCTCCAGGGCTGGAATCAAAACCGACTGACCGTTGCGTTTGGACAGCAAATACGCTTGAATGAACCTTGAATTTGAATCTTGACCAATACCAAACGAAGGCGAATCCTCCGATAGCAATTCAACCTCACTCCCAATGTGGCGCACTCGGTAATCGCATGACCGGCAGAGATTCCCTACGGAGCGAGAGACCAGATCGACGAAAACAATGGCCTACCAGCCATCGCGTAGCCCTTTGCCATCGCGCAGTCCCTTTGCACCTGCGCAACAAGACGGCTTCTACGGAAACCCCCGTAGCGGGCTCCGCGGATACGGGCTGTCGAACCAACCCATCCCCCTATCCAATAAAGTGAACGGCTACTTCGAAAAGGACCGCACACTACCTTTATACAAAGATAAGCCATTCTTCGCGCCACGCCGCACAGGCCCTCAAAGGAGATGGAGGCCGTTCCTGAACGTGCTGGGTGTGTGTACAGTGTTATTTCTGTTGTATTATAACTTCTACCTCCGCACGTGGTCAGGGATACAGTCAAATGATAAGGGGGTAGAATTATGGAAATGGGCCCAGACATTGGAGGCCGGGAAAGATTCAGGCGACCTGTCTGACTGGATTGCGAGACGAGAGAAAGTGCGGGACGCGTTCATTGTCAGTTGGGAAGGATATGAGAAGGACGCATGGGGTAGGTCATACAACAACCTTGTGTGCTATGACAGCGCTGATTCTGTTATTCAGGATACGACCAGTATCGCCCTGTATCCAACGTTAACCAGGAAGACACGAGCGGCGGGTTAGGCTGGATGATAGTTGACTCGCTGGACACATTGATGATCATGAATCTGACCTCCAAGGTCCACCGGGCAAGGCAATGGATCTCAACGTCGTTGCATTATGACCAGGACCGTGATGTTAATACGTTCGAGACGACTATCCGCATGCTGGGTGGTCTGCTGTCTGCACACTATCTGTCAAACCAGTACCCCGATTTAGCACCCCTCAACGACGACGATGTCGGTGCTGCCGGTGAAGACCTGTACATCGAGAAAGCAGCTGACCTCGCTGAGCGGTTACTCGGGGCTTTCGAGTCTCCAAGCGGTATCCCATGGTCGAATGTCAATCTCAATACGTCAGAGGGTGTTGTCGTGCATTTCGACGAGGGTGCTACGTCTATTTCTGAGGCTGGCTCGATACAGCTTGAATTCAAGTACTTGGCCAAGCTGACTGGCGAGGCGGAATATTGGAAGTTGGTTGAGAGGACGATGAAGCTGGTTGACCTACAAAAGCCGCAAGATGGCCTTGTCCGAACCGCCATTCATCCTGATAGTGGCGCATTCAAAGGAGACAGAATTAGTCTGGGCAGTAGGGCAGATTCTTACTATGGTATGTTGATGAACTCGATGCTCCGTTGTACATTTTAAGCTGACTTGCTTCAGAATATCTCATCAAGCAATACCTGCAGACCTCAGAACAGGAGCCCGTCTACAAAGAAATGTGGGATGAGGCATTGAGAGGCATCCGCAAGCACCTTGTCTCTTTTACCAAGAACTCCCAGCTGATGATCATTGGCGAGCGGCCCCAGGGCCTAGACCAGGACCTCTCACCCAGAATGGACCACCTGGTCTGCTTCATGCCAGGTACAATCGCGCTCGGTGCGACCGGTGGCCAGCCCTTGTCCCAAGCCCGAAAGTCAGCGGATTGGACTCAACAGCGCGAGGAGGAGATCCTTATGTCGAGAGAACTAATGAAGACCTGCTGGGCAATGCACCAGGCAACGGCAACCGGCCTCGCAACCGAGATATCCCACTTCGTCTTAGACTCGCCACCAGTGATGATGGCAGACAAGTACCCAGATCCAGTTATGGACCCCAACCGCGCATCCAAACCCGAGGCACTGCGCGGCATTTCCCAGCCCCTAGAGGCACAAAGCGATGCGTCCGCGCCCTGGCGCGCGGACATCGACATCCGTCGCAACGACCGCCACAATCTGCAACGCCCGGAAACTGTCGAGTCCCTCTTCTATCTCTACCGTATCACCGGCGAGGACATCTACCGCCAGTGGGGCTGGGAGATCTTCAAGTCTTTCATCAGACACACGGCCGTGGTCGAGAAGAAGAGTACCTCACGTATTCCTACATCAACCAGCGCAGCACCCGTTTTCCGTATCAAGGGCTTTACGTCGCTCGGAAACGCGGATGCAGTCCCTTCGTACAAGCGGGACAATATGGAAAGCTATTGGATGGCTGAGACACTCAAGTATTTCTACTTGTTGTTCTCGGATCGGGATTTCATCTCGCTGGAGGACCACGTTTTCAATACTGAGGCCCATCCATTCCCGCGGTTTAAGCCTAGCGGGGACCTTAAGACGGGGTGGGAGAGGGCGCCTAGGCAGTAGATTTGCTGGGTGCTTTGCTCTAATGGAGCCTTGGTTGGCTATGGCTTTGATGTCTCTTATATGCACATACATGGATAGGATAATGTCTGCTGGGTGGAGCCTTCCTTTCTGGGCTGCCGCCGCTTTTATAAAGGCGCTCAGGCTTACGATCACTAAGTAGTCGTTACCTACCTAGGTACGAATGTAGCACCGGCTCGGACTTAGCAGAAAAGAGTGAAAAGCGAATGAATAGCAGTCGTCGATTCACTGCGCTAAATGTATCACACGCCCTGTCGGTGGCCCCTTTTCCATACCTCTGGAAATCTTGTCTATCTGCAGCCATCTACCACTTCTTTCGACTTCCAGAAACGTATTTTATGACATCTGGAACCGTCTCCAAGATGGCGATAGACGAGGATGGAGGCTCTTTGCGGATTGTCTTCCGTAGCATCTATACCTTGCTCGGACTCGAAAAGACCTGGCCAGCACGTGCCAAGCATTCTGTTATTTCAGCAGCAGCAGCAACTTCGTGTTCCCGGAATAGATTGTTCTCATTTAAGCTGCGGATATTCCGTTTGATTTTATCCAAGTAAACTAGAGTATTTTGTTAGCCGGGGATGATAGAGTAGTGTGGGCAAGCCACCCGGGCACTGACCTAGCGCTTGTGTCAACTTAAAATGCCTGTATGTCCCACGAACCAGGGCTTGGACATGCTTCTGCTCAGACATTTCAGGTGAGCCTCGTGAAGTCACGTTGAAAAGGGAAGGCTCCAATCCTGAGTGTTCTTGATCTATGCGAATAACGATGGATGGTCAGCTATCAGGTCTTGTCCGGGATGAAGGATACATCAGAGCCTACCATCCAAGATCCCGGATCGGAAATATTCGAAGAGCGTGTTATAATTTGGAAAGGGTTGCCTTTCTATTTCCGACGCGGGGCCGATGAGTGCTGCGAGGTAGATCCCAAGAGGGAATCTCCAACCAGGTGCAACATTATCCACGATTTCTTTGACAGCTTGCAAGCGGTTGTGCAGTTCTGACGGAGATAGTAGTGGGGTGGTTTCTGACCAGATTTCTTTGCGAAGATTTATCACTGCGTCTGCCAATCTTGGGTCTGGATCTCCTCGTGCGCTGTAGAGACCGGCAAATTTAGGCTGTAGACGACGCAATCGATCATTCTCGAACAGAATGTTCGCAGGTATCATCTGGGATCTGTTCTCGATCTTCAGTGATCCCTGAGAAAGATACTCGCCAAAATAGTACCCTTTGTCGGTGCGAAGAGAGTATAGGCTTCTCAGGTTCCAGTACTTAGGGCTATTGTTCTTGTCGGATTTATGGTTGTCAACTCCACTGAAGGACTGAATAAGATCCAAGTCACGCATGAATGTTCCGGTTGGGAAACACGTAGTGTCGATGACATACAACTTAATATCATTCCAACTCGGCTTATCGTCCTCGCTGAAACGTCGATAGTAGATGAACTGAATTGCGAAGAGTAATGAGCTAGTCCATGATACGAAATTGTCTTCCACGGTATAACGGTGTCCATACCATTGAAGGTGCACGGTAAGTTCAAAAGCTTTGGTATGCTGATTTGTGCCACCCAGGAATGAGAAAACATCTTGAGTAGAGGTAATGTTCTTTTCGTGGGCAGACTTTGAATGAGCCCATGTCCCATTTGTATCTCCATCAGATTTAGGAGCAACAACTCGGAAAAGGTAGCGGGGAATATCTTTCAGGCATTGATCTGCCCCACCGCGTGGGCTAGGGTTGAAAAGTAGTTGCTCAGGCTCTGTAATATCGCCCAAGCTAGTTCTTCCCATCGCCTCAGCCAGGCTGTCCGTATCGGGTCGGTCTCGGTTCGGCATTGTTATGAACAGAGAGTGACAGCGTGTAGAAAGTAGTAGATAAAGAAATGCACTTCCTCTCAAGAAAAGACAGACATTAAATATGTTGCTGCTGCTCCAATCTTTCAGCCTCATGACGGTCAAGTGAGTGCTCAGCCTCAGTATTGCGCCTTGCGGTTTCCAACACATTGGGCTGTGCTGGCCGTATATTAGCAAGTTTTATAGCCTCCCAACACTTAAAACTAATTTACCAACGTTAAGCCCAAAGGCGAAACGCCAGTGGCCGAAACTATGTACACACAGCACCAGATACCCCGCCCCTATCAAGATAATATGCCACAAGAAACTGATCATACGGCCACCTCACCCTTCTCCTCTCTCTCCAGCGCAGCCTCAATCATCTTTTTATAACCAACCACAGCCTCCTTAATCTGGCGGATACTCAAGGCCTCATTATCACCATGAGCAACAAAGATACTGCCAGGCCCATACAAGTAGCGCTTGACACCAGGACTGACAGCCAGATTCGGCACATCGGTACCATAGTTAACAGTAGTAACATCAAACCCATCAACATCAACGTCCAAATCCTGCGGCGGATAAGACTCGCCATGCGAAACAAAGTCCAGAACAACCTCCGCCTCAACATCCCGAACGGCCTTATCAACAGCCCGCTGAATAATCTCACGCGCCTCAGCAGGCGTACCAGCCGCAAGTCTCACAGCGACATCCGCCCACGCCTCAGAAGGAACAACATTCGTCGCGACGCCCGCGCGGATAACGCCAATATTCAGCGTGGTCGGCCCGTACTTTGGGGAGGCAGGCAAACCACCCTCTTCGACGGGGATATCACCTAGCACGTCGACGCGCGAGATCGCAGGCAGAATTGCCGACACGGCGCTCTTGCCCAGCCACGGGTATCCCGAGTGGGCGGCGCTGCCGTGAGCAAGGACTTTGAAGCCGAGCATGCCTTTGTGGCCGGCAACAAGGGCTGCCTCGGTTGGCTCACCGAAAATGACGGTGTTGATGGCGCTCTTGGCGTTGAGCGTTGAGTCCGAGAAGACTTTCATACCGTCGCCGCCAATTTCTTCGCCGACGACGAAGAGAAGGCCGAGCTTGGCGTCTGGTTGTGAGTCTAGTGTTTCGAGGGTTGCGAAGATCTGGGCTGCGACGCTACCCTTTGCGTCGACGGAGCCACGGCCTGCTATTATGAGGTCCTCTGGGTCGAAGATGGTAGTAGACTCGTCGGGGATGGGCTTGATGGGCTGGTGCATAGAGTATGGGATGAAGGGGGGAACGGTGTCGATGTGGCTTGTGAGGAGGATTGAGGGGGGTTCTGTGTAGGATTTTGGAACGGCGTAGATGTTGTAGCGGGTTTTGGTGTCCTCTTGGCCCTTCACTGGGGGCACCTCTTGCTTCACCACGGTGAAGTTCCGGGCCTCCAGGAATTGCGCGACGAAGAGGCCGACATCGTGCTCGTTGCCGGAGATTGACTCGATCTCGACCAGGTCTCGGTGGAATGACAGTAGAGGTGAATTGCTGATTATATCATCTAGGTCTCCTTGGCTGTAGCTAGGCTGGAAGGGCGAGGGCGAGGGCGAGGGCGAGGATGGCACGCCCAGGAGCTGTTGCTGAGGTGCGGGGTGCGGAGAAGCCTGAACACCGGACATGATGGCCGCGGCCGCGAGATAGGAAGAGAACTTCATTGAAAGGTGGAGTACAATATGTTCTAATTATTATGAGTGTCTCTGTCCGAAACAATTGAATAACCCCGACACCCAGAAGGTTGAGTATCTTGCGACTTGTAGTAGGTCGGAGATCCGAGATCGGAAACACCCGATGTATAAGATCACGTGGATAGATATATTGTAGCACAAATAATAGCTAGGACGAAATATAGAATGGCTTAAGATGGATCCTATTGGATATATATTATCTGTGGTGCTTGTCTAATTGCGTGTTCGAGTTGAATTGCCCTGATACATATTAGGACGGGTTGTTTCAGATCGACATTTGTCTGCAACCTCAAAATGAGGAGCTTATGTATAGCTAAGCTTTGCAATAAATAGCAAAAGACATATGAGATCCATCGTATAGCCATGGGTTGTTATCTGTAGATCACCTTTCTTTCGCCGCCCCCGACCGCCTGCCCGGCTCCGCTGCTCCTTTCGGCATGGCGCCCACTGCGGCCGCCCGACCGTGTTTAGCGCCGCAGTGGCCGCTTTTATAGCCCGACAAGTCCGTTCCTCTCTCTATAAATGGTGCTCCAAATTGCCTGGCCTCGGCTTTGGCAGTCCAACCCCTACCCAAGTACCGAGCTATTCAATTTTCCCTCTCTGCAAACGACTGGATGATACCTTCGTTACTCTCTCCATAAACCCTCGCTCTACCTCACCATCCCCCTTCAGGATAGTATTCGGTTGTACAAACTTCGGGCTTAGATGTCACAATTTGCCTCCAGGCTTCGTATTTGCCATTCACAGCGCTGAGCGGCTCGTAAAACTCCTTACATGGCTTATCGTCGGCAATGCATCGCCAAACATGGATGCGGCACAGCATCCGGCCCAGCGACGGCCTTCCATGTGAAGTAATCTTGAGCGGTCCACCCGGACATACACAGTTTGGGCAATCGGGTCGTGCTCAACCACCATCAGGTAACAGGTGTTTCAAAATGGCGAAATTTGCCTGATTTAAAGTTATTTGGCTGGAGACGAATCATTCCTTTCAAAAGAAAGCAGGAACACGATAATTTCTTGCGCAAGCTTCGGCATTTTTTTCGATGACTTCTATCCTTTGGGCGAGGGAAAAATGGCGCGCTGTGAGCGACAGTAGCGCTTAGGAAAGCCATCTTCTAATGTGGTGGAATGAAGCGGGAAACTTTTGACTAGAATAAGTAACAGAGTATACGACAAAAATTGTTTTCAGTCTGTCAGTCAGTCCTGCTGGAAATTGTGAACACGCGTCATAGGGGCTCACTCGAAGCACGTCTGCCGTGTTCCAACTCGCGAATCCCGAGCGAGCACCATAGTCGTCGTTGATCCCGGCGATCCAGAGCCAGTGTACGGCCGAGCCAGCTGTATTTTCCGCGCGGACTGCCAGGCTGAAAAGTATCACTGACCCCAGCACTGCGGATATTGCCTCAAAGCCTGCGCTCAAGCAGACAAGGCCTTGTAGCCCTGGATGTCCGACGAGCAAGGGAGGCAAGTGTCAGCATGAGAGCCCTAGGCCCGGCCTCTACCTCGTTGCTGCGAAATTGGCCGCAGCAATGGCAACTTTGGTTAGATTGAATTATATTTATCTCCAAGGATAGATTTATTTGAATGCCCAAGACTTTGTATGGATGGGACTAACTACTACTATCGTAGGATATGGCGTCTCAACACATTCACACGATTTAGTCAGAACCAAGACAAATCCTCACATCAATTCTACGCATTCTTCAGCCTCCAAACAGCTAGATCAGCCGAGGCAATCTCAGAATCATCACCACCTATCAGCAGCTCAGCACCTTCGATCGCAGGAGTACTCGCAGGTTCCAAACCATAGTTGAACCCCCAGAGCAAGGCACCCCTCTTTGCAAACCGCAGCGTAGGTCCAAGGTCATTGCTACTATTAGCTTGCCGCCCCGCAAAATCAGTTATCATTGCCGCATTAGCGACATCGCCGAGATATGACACGAGCAGGTCGACAGGAGGATTAAAGCCAAGGTAATGCCACCCATCCATTGAGCAGGCAGCTGGCTGACCCGGACGATGTGACGAGGTGTATGTCATTGTTGGATTGCTCGTACGGCCTTTCCGTTCACAGACCACCCACTCCTCCCAGCCTGAGATATTGAACTTCGTTCCCCCATAGACGACGCCGCTACCAGCGTAGCTCGGTGGTGTCTCCACGCGGGTGACTCTCATCGGTAGACGGTCGCGGAGCGGACCTTTCGAGGGGTTGAGACCGGGAGTATAGCTGAACGTGGCTGTTTTAGAGCCAGTGTGTGGCCCAAAAACGACGGGGCCGCTGTAATCAGCTAGTGCTTGGTTGAATGTTTCGGGAATAACGGGCAAACTCGGCACGACGACGAGCTTGTAGCCGTGAATTGGTTGGTCGGGGCCAATAATATCAACGGAAAGCCCGAGGCGGCGGAGAGCGGAATAGAAGTTATAGACGACGTCCATATACTTCACAGCTGGGTTCAAATATCTGGAGGCTTTAGGACTCCACTCTCCACTGTACGGCTCGATAGCCCAAACCTCGGAAGAAACATAATCGAATATGAGAGCCACATCTGCTTGGTGCTCCTGTTCTTCACCGATATTGAGTGCATCCCTTAATTTCGGTAGATCTTCGTTTATCACGGTCTGAAGCTCCAGGAAGCCTTCGTCTGCCGCACCATCCGGGATAAACAGACCGGACAGCGTCTGCTCTTGCGCGTACGGGACCTGACGCCAGCGAAAATATGAAACCATATCGCCCAGATCTGCGTACGTTTCATGCGTCCAGAGTCGTACCATGCCACTCAACGGAGACACCCGGTAAGGACTCCAATTCAGAACGCCGGTTTGCATCTCCATAACGCCGAATGGCCCGGATGTTTTGTTATAGGCGGCACCCGCAACACCGCGGTAGAGAGCGTGGTGCAGCGCCTGCCAATCCGGTAGACCGGTGTGTAGATATTGTGCTTGATCCTCTGGAGAGAGCCATGAGAAAGAACTTGGACCAGAAAGTGGATACTCGTCAAACGTTGCGAGATCGATTCCCACCTCACGCGAGAACTTGAAGTGATCGAAGTCGGTGAAGCCCATCATGAAATTATGTGTGATGAATTGTGTTGGCGCATATTGCCTCAAGATTTCTGACTGCTCGCGCGCGAATTCGATCACCATATCCGAGCTGAATAAGTACCAATCGAGAGCATGGTCAGGCTGCGTCGTGTAGACTTCCAAAAACGGTGGCTGAACTACATCAAAGCTGGTATATTGGTTCGACCAAAACACACGGCCCTGGGCAGCGTTGAAATTATCGATGGTGCCGTACTTAGTCTGTAGCCATTCCCGGAACCGCCTGATGGCATGATGATCGTAGCTTCGCACGGTATCGTGACATCCGAACTCGTTGTCAAGCTGCCAGCCCGCTACCGTGGGGTGGTTGCCGTACCGCTCTGCCAATTTTCGTGTGATATTTTGGCTTAGGAGACGATAATCGGTCGAAGATGTGCTATAGCCACGGCGTGACCCGAAGAGCAATGTGGTATTGGTGTTATCCACAAAGCTGACATCGTACTTTTCGGTAAGCCAATTAGGTGGACCTGCCGTGGGCGTCCCGATGATTGCTTTAAGTTGATGTCGACCGAGCTGCTCCAGCGTCCTGTCCAGAAGGGTGAAATTGTATTGCCCCTCAGTCGGTTCTAAGATAGACCAGTCAAACTCGCTTACTCGCACAAACGATAGGTTCGCATCTCGCATCCGAGCAATGTCGGACTCCCACATTTGTTCCGGCCATTGGGACGGGTAGTAGTCGACAGCCAAGTGAGTCCCGCGTGGCCAGCGATCGAGGGAGGGCGCGAGCGATAGCTCATGTTCTGATAGTCCGGATGTGCGATGGTGGGTTGTAGCACCGACAGCACAAACAGCAAGTGCAGCAGGCGGCACTAATAGGCGAAGTAGCATAGCCGCAGAAGAGAAAAGGAAGTCAGAGGATTGACTTGGTTTCCGGAACTTACAGAGCCACGATAACTACTATACTGCTCGTCATATATACGCATATTGCATGCGGGTAAATAGAGAACCGGAGATATCGCCATTGTTGAGAATGCGGGGTTGGCGTGCTGATCGCGGGGAAGGCGAATGTATAAGTTAACCAGTGGCATGTTAGCTTTCTTTGCGACATTAGCACTGGAGAGGTTCCAAATGTGATCCATTTCACGATCAGCAGAGATTATGTATACTTCAAGTGCTATCTCCACGCCTGGTTAAATAATCTATCAGTAACTTGCCAAATCCCACCAATCGAATCTGATACCTGTCGGGTCGGGGTGATTCCGATTCAAGGGGTTTTGTCCGCTTTCTCCACAATAAGAACAAAGCCCCAATCCAAGCAGCCTGACTTGATTTAGACTCTGGACTATGACGCTTGGTGTAGGTCTGCCGGTTAATATAGGTGTGTCGGTTATAGGTCTATCGGCTATATATCTGACAGTTGATATAGTCAACTGCAGGCGGGAAAATCAAGACACTGCATATCAGCTGACAATACCCAACCAAATGCGCCTTATTCACTGCTCTCTGCTTCACTTAGCGCCGTATTAGACACAGGGGTTACAGATAATAATAGATATGACCGCGCTACTCCGTAGAGTAGGTAGGCTATTTTCTGTTCTCATCTCTCCTCTTCTTCTAGGTTTCTCGCATACACACAAATTTGACCAACAGACATGACTCCGGCAGTGATTAATTACACCCCCGTTCTACAGAAACCGCTCACCAGATCACATATGAAGCGATTCACATCCTCAAAGAATCAGGCGAGACACTCGCCGTCTCTGAGTCACTTACTGGCGGCGGACTTATAGGTGCTATCACGTGTGTTGAAGGCTGCAGTACTGCTTTCCGTGGCGGGGTTGTGTCATATGCAACCAAATCAAACAACATCTCCTTCAAGTCGATGGCGACTTGATGGCTGAGCAGAGCGATTTCCACGCTGACGTTGCTACCCAAATGGCTATCGGAACCCGGACCATTACGACCGAAGGTGACATGATTCCAACTTCCTGGGGGATTGGGACAACGGGAGTGGCTGGCCCTGATCCTCAGGATGGGAAGCCGGTAGGAATGGTCTTCATTGGCTAGCCTCTTCGAGTGGAGGTAAAGGGTTTGGGCCGTTCCATTTCACAGGTTCGCGCGAGAGGGTTCGGGAAGCCACTATTGTTGAAGCGCTGTATCGCTTGGTCAAGAAGTGGTCAAGGCAAGACAGGAGTTTCTAGTCTGTGAATTTGTAAATGCAAGTAGAAAATGACTTCGGCTGAAAGTCGAATACCCTCATATATATGTTTCTAATACTTTTTACCTTCATATTCGGAGATAGAGATTTTTAAATCCCTCATCCATATTGACTGTGTCTGGGATTTTGGAAAGTAGACGCATAAACTAGTGGCTCAATAGGGGCCAACAATTGATGTATAGACTAAACCCTAAGCCTATCCACTACACCCTGGTTTCCGTCACAACATTAGCATCATGTCGCGTGATTTGTCTTAGCCGCCATATAAAATCGTCTGTTGCTCGGCATCCAAAAAACCACTATTCTCTATCATGACATGCTGCTCCAAAAATATCAACTCCCATCACCAAATTCTTGAGTCAAGACTCTTAACTCCGTTGTCACACCGACCACGTATTAGCTGCACTCGGAACCTTTACTGTTGTTCCTCTACTCGGCCATGTTCTGCCTCTCCTTGTTTACCAGCAACAATTTTACATGACGAGCAAGCTTTCACTATCCGCTGTGGTGAATACAACTGGGTTATGGGTGCTGAGTCACCTGAAAGATATCATCAACCCGGAGGCTATCATCCTGTGATGAGTGGGGATCTACTCCATGAGCGATACCGCATTGTGGACAAGCTCGGCTTTGGGGGCTATTCGACTGTTTGGCTCGCCCGCGACACTCGCCTCGAGCAATGTTGCTCTCAAAGCCGGCATAGCAGGTTCGTTTCCGTATGAAACTAGACTTCTCCAAGCTCTTTTCTGTGCTAAACTCATCATCTTCGTCTGTTCATCCAGGGCGTGATTTTGTTCCTTCCATCCTGGACGAATTCGAGCTGCATGGTCCCAATGGGACTCATCCGTGCTATACGACGACTTCTGAACTGTGCAATCTTAAAGAAGTCTCTTCCAATTGTCTATTTCCTCTTAGGATCACACGGGCGCTATCATATGGGCTCACGCTGGCTGTTGTGTACATACATTCGCAAGGTTATGTCCATGGAGGTTTATAATTGCATGCTATCATGGTTTCTCTCAGCTAATATTCGCGGTATCTTTATTTAGACCTCCACCTCCGAAACGTCCTAGTCAAACTCCCATCAAGTTTCGATGCACTTTCGATCGAGCAACTGTACAAGGAATATGGCGAGCCAGAGACTGTTCCCATCACACAGCGCGACGGAAAGTCGCTTCCGCCCAACATCCCAGGAAAGGCAGTAATCGCGCTCTACCTCGGGGAAGGTGCAGAAAAATTCTCACTATCCGACACACATGTCATTCTGATTGATTTTGCCGAGCCATTTGCTCCAGCCTCTGACATCCGTCGCGGCGTTTGCAAATGAAGTAGATCAGTTTACATTGGCATACCTTCTCCTGGAGTGACCATAGTAGTCACTACCTAGTATATGCCGCCCCTCTGAGAGTAACTAGAACTGGTTTGAGAACCTCTTGACTTAATATCTCTGTCGGTTTTAAAGGCAGAACTGACATTTTGGACCTACTTACATTCATTTGCTTTGGCTTCTGGGGTTAAATACGGCGATCTCAGAGAAGACAAAGACCTAGCGAGGAATCATGTCTCATTGAGGAAGGCCATCTGACGGCTCTCTGAAGAGAGAAGAGAAAGAGGCTCTAGAGGGAGAAGAGGCCGAGAGGTCAGGGCGATCCGCAGAGCCTGACTAATTATGCTCCTACCAACAAAATACAGTTCCCTCTTATCAGAATGTGAGAATCACTGGTTGGATTGCAGAGAAATGAGGGTCTGAAGTGCGAACTATCTGAACTCTCTTAGCTACTCCAACTAACAGTGCCAAGCTAAGTTCGGATTGCACCGTTTGAACACAACAGGCAATTACCATCAATCTTGACTTGAAGATCCCTGTTTATTGCGTTCGCTGCAAGTCTGAATGTCCCCATCTTCGTACTAAGGTGGCATGAACCTCGGACCCCCAAATTTATATTTCTATCATATTCCTTTCATGCGACCAAGCCGACTTGCGAAGAACAGACATGTGGTCACGTGATTGACGACCCCTCAAGTAGCTACTGTGTAAGTACATGTGTAGTTTCCAGCTAGACAAAATACCACCCTTCATACCAGCTATAGCTGTACCACTAGCCCTGATTTTTTTTTCGTTGAACATAACATAACTGGCTGTGACCGGACTCCCAATTCTCCAGGCCTCAGAAACCCTAAGTTTTTCTTTTCGCTTTGTCATTTTCTTTTTTATTGGCTTTTGCCGAGTGGCGGTGATTGGCCACCCAAGCTAACAGACCCCAGCTATGCCATTTTGGGCCGCAGTGTGTTCTGTTCTGTCCTAGTGGCCTGCAGGGATGCCTAGCGAGAGATGCGATCGGAGAGATCTCCAAGGCAAAAAAAAAGAAAGAAAGGATCTGATATGTTACAGTAATGGACAAGTTAGCTGAAGAATGAAAGTTGACTTGTCAAGCAAGTCCCATCGACAACCCGTCGACCTTGCACAAACCCGAGAACCCATCCCGGTTGCTGCGCCAAGGCTCGCCTCACGCCCCCAAAGGCACACCCGGCGGGCAGAGGCAGTGGCGCCAAACACCATGGCTTACCTTTTCCCCTTCGCGCCTCCCCAATATGGAAGAATGGAAAGTTCCCCGAATTCCCCGAGAACGTTGGATGGTTAGGGCCATGTGGACCTGACCAAAGGCGAAGGGATTTGCCTTTTCTTTCTATTCCCTTCCCATGGTACCTGTTCATTCCGATTGTCACTCCAGGGCTATGATTGGATGGCAGAGGATGGCAGTTCTCTCCTCGTCTAGTACCACTTGCTACTGTTGTGAGTAGTGCTCTGATGTCTGTCGCAGTCCAGGTCTAGTCCGGAGTTCGCACAAGTTATCGTAGGACGGAGCACCGATATCATACCTAGCTGTGCCCCACAGAATTTCGAACCGATAACCCTCCATTGTGCTACCCTACTCGTCATAGTCGGACAAAGTTCTGACCTCTACGGGACGGGACCTTGTCCGTTGCTCAACGTTGTCGGAGCTCTAATACAAACGGGGTGGATGCACCAGCCCGTGTGTAGAATGGGGATGGGTATACCCAGTGGTTTACTCTGGGCCAAATGACAACCGAGTACTCCATACTCCGTACGTACTTCAGGGTAAACAGACAACTGGATAAATATGGATAATAAGCGGATGTGTCCAACATCTTTTCCCCCGAATCTGCAGAGCGAATCAGCACCGATCGACTGGGTCGAAATGGCATCATAATCGTTCCCCTCTTGAATCCACTTCAGTCTAGATTGCCGATCGCACACACAACTGGATTTCGTACCCAATTGAGAAAAGGGTCCTGGAAGGGTATCAATGTAGAACATTGGGCTACACAGCATATCTGTGTAGCCGTTGGGGGTGGTTTGAAAAACAATCGAATTAGAGATCATACATAAATACATCCATGATATGTAGATACTGCACATACATATGGATAAAATCAAATAGAATAATAAGGATAATAAGAGTAAAGAACCCTTCCAGACTCTTTAATACCATGGTTGAAGCAGTGTCAACCACCGGAACTCGGCGGAGCAGACCTTGGAATACGTTGGATCGGCGAGTTTACAGTCCGATCCATGGTTCAAGTTGAGGTTAGTCAACTTTTTTCTGGGAATCTGATGGAATTCTCCACCAACGGTCGGAAGGTCTAG